AAGAAAAAATTCACTTTGAAATTTTGTTTAGGATCTTGCACAGGCTCATCTTCAGCTTCATATGCAAATTGCTTTTTTTCTCCGCCGTAATCGTGGTTCTGCCTCAAAGGTTGGTGGTATCTCCAAATCCTTAGCAATTTCAGCAGCATCCACTAGCATTCTTGCAAAACCTATGTCACTCCTACAGTCAACCAAATAGACTTGTGTGTGTTGCAACTGTTGTACAGCAGCATAAATATACAAATCTTTAGCTTGGAGCTGCTTACTTGTTATATTGATTTCAAAAAGTATGTTGTACCATACAACAATTGAAACCACGAACTTAAACTTTGCAACACTATTCGCAAGTGCTTTAGCATTACTGCGTGCAGTGCTTCCTGAGGATCCAGTTAGAGAAGTATCATCAGCTATATCTAGCAGTGCATCATATATTTTACCAAGTTCATATCGCAAAGGCTTTATAGCATCTATTCTGCTTTCCCATCTTGTTTCACTTAGAGGTTTAACAGTTAACGTAGGTTGATGACTCGTGAAAACTACCCACCGATGTGTTGAAGACAAAAAATATACATACACACGTTGGACAATATCAAAAAAACTTGTAGCCATTAGACAACAACTTGCAGCATCATTGACAACCAAATTAAGAGTATGCGCGCTGCAAGGAACAAACAATGCTCGAGGATTAATGTTTAATATTTTCTTTTGAACACCATTATTTTTGCCTATCATATTTGCGCCATTATCGTAGCCTTGGCCACGTAAATTATCAATAGGTAACTCCATTTCTTCTAGTTGTTGTATTATCGTTTCTGCTATATAGGCTCCAGTTGTTTTCTTTAAAGGTACAAAGCCTAAAAAATGTTCTTTGATACTAAACTCTATTTTCAATGAATCAACTTTAACAAAACGAATAATTATTGTCATTTGCTCAACATGGCTACAGTCAGGAGTACCATCGAGAACTATTGAAAAATATTTCATTGCATTTGCTGTTTGTATGATTTCTTTCTTAATAGCATTTCCTAACAGTTGAATAAGTTCATTTTGTATATCTTTGCCAAGATAGTGTGTATGAAGCTCTTTATTTGATATCTTTCGTAGATGTTCGTTCATTAATGGATCAAAAATGGCTAAGTATTGCACAAATTTTAAAAAATTCCCGTTATTGGCACTGTACAATGTTTCATTTGTACCGCGAAAAGCTAGATTCTGTTCACCCAAAACTCTCACTAATGCTATTAAACGCTTTAGTATTTGCTGCCAATACTTTTCTTCATTCTTCATCTTGCGCAAAATTTCTGCATCTATTGTACTATCCCTCTGTAATCGCTGATGTAGTTCTTTCCACTTTTGATAGTTCTGCAAATGTTCAGGACTTTTCTCGTGGGAAGAAAGAATTGCCGCCATGTTTTTCCAGTCACTTGAACCTGTATGAGTTAGTGATGATATGCCAATTGCTTTCATACTGAAGAGTTTGCAACAGAAACAAAACACTGAGTCTTTTAATACTGAATACAAGAGCCAGCTGCGACATAATTCTTCTCCATTAGGAAGTTTTCTTAAGTAGTGAAATACTGAAAACTTTCGATTGTTCTTATCATTTGGGAAAATGATATCTTTTACTTGCTGAGGTCCACGTTCTACAATGATTGCATGTGTATTATGATTAATTAGTAGAGGCCAAAGTGCTGGATCCTGTGGAATAACATTATCCGTTTTTTCTTCACTTGCTTGCTGTGTACATGTTCCTCGAGAGAATTATTCAATTGGCCATTATCTGCATGGGAAACGGAAACTGTTGAGTAAGAAAGTGTTTCACTCATCATCACATTATCATTATCAACAACATTAGATATTTCTTCAGCTTCCATATCAGTGGGATTCTGTCCACCATTACTATCCTCTTTAGTAGAGTCTTGTCGGCATATAAACTTTAGCAATGAACCCTTCTGTTTTTCTTGTTCCCTCTGCTTTTCAACTTTTCGTTCACGATATTGAGCTCCTGAAGGCTTTTTTCTCTCAGCCATATCTGAAATGTAACAAGAAAATAATAAAATAAATGAATGTTGCGATGTTTAACTAATACATTAATAGGTCTTCTGTGATTGGCTTCAAGAATAAATTATATATAGCTAGCTATAGTTTCCAACAGGTCTGAACAGCTCTGTAAGGTTTTAACAGGTTATCATTTAACTGTATTATACAAAAAACAACTTGGCAAAGTTATACGTCCTGCTAGTATTTTTTGTGTTTTTTTAAACGGAAATGGAAGTTAGCTATATGAATGAGATTTCAATGTGTAATTAGCTGGTGCAGATCAAGACATATTGTAGAAGCGACTCAACAAAAAATTTAACCTGCTAGATGCATTGTGTTTAAATAATTCAAATTTTATTTTGTATAGCAAAGTTATACGTATGGTGAAGTATAATAATAATATAATACGTTATATATAATAGCCCTAGATTTAAGCTAGTTATTATATATTCATATAAAAAATATTTTACTTTTCTTAATAAGTGTCTAAAACTTAATATAAATGTATAATAGTATATAGAATGTCACTATTCATCTATATGTATATATATATATATATATATATATATATATATATATATATATATATATATATATATATATATATATATATATATATATATTGTCAGTATAAATTATATAAAGAATATAGTCGACTAACTATTGAAAGTTGTTATGAAAATCACTTTGGTTGTAAAGACGCCGCCATATTTGTTATGATTTAGGTTGCGTTCGGTAAAATGTACGTACATATTGCTCAATGAGCAAAAGCGTTGTTTTTTGTTAGCATATAAAAAAACTTATCAATTTTTAGGCGCCCTTAAACTTTGGCGCCCTAGGCGATTGCCTAGTTCGCCTATAGGGTGCACCGGCGCTGCTTAGTGAGACTAATACAAGTTCATTCATTCTTTTTTCTGATCTCAGTGTTGATTGGTATTTTTTTTTTAATTTAAGAAGACTTTAATAGCCACATGCTTGGCTTAAGGGTATGTCAACGCATTAGTTTACTTAATTTTTGTTTAATCAGTTTTCGCTTACCACCTCTTCACTCTATCATCTTTCTTTTTGTTTTTTATCGTTCTCCTTCTTCCTAATACTACACTCTTAAAAACATAATTTCTGATCAAATTGACCATGCTCTTTCTCCTTACCTCTCTGCCAGACTATCTCGCCTTTCTTTTGACTCATTTTCCTGACAACCATAATTATTTATCTTCACGCCTTGATTTATCTCTCGTCTCTGATTCTAGCTAGTGTTCTTCTTTTTCTTCCTTAGGTGGCTCTCACCATTTATTGACTTTTTTAAATCTTTCATCTTGTACTTTCTTTTTAGACTCTATCGTTGTACTTCTTACTACTACCGTAAGGTTAATTAGGATTCTTTTCGTGATTTTCTTTGTGATGCTATTTGGGCAAATGTCTTTTTCCTTTTCCATTAGAAAAGTACGCCTCAGTTGTAACCTCCTGGATTCAAGCAGGAACAGAATATTTTATTTCGTTTTATTGGTTTTAAGTCAAGCACCATTCTACTCCAGGGTTTGCACCTTCTTGTGCAGCTGCTATATGTAATCATAATTATTTTTTTCGTCTTTTTTAAAAGAACAACTCTTTTAAAAACAAAAGGTTATATACAATTGCAAGAAATCAATGTTAAATGGTGCTGTCAGATGCTAAGCTCTAATATTTATTCCTAAAAATATTTATCGTGCATTAGGCGGCAGCGGAGAGGCTAGGACTATTGCTCTTGACAAACCTATGGCTTTCGAAAAAGTTTGACATGCTGGTTTTCTCCAAAACATTGTTTTATATGGTGTATCTAGGAGAGTTTTGAGATTATCAAATTGTTTCTTATAAGCAGTTTATTGAAGTCGTCCTCGAGGGCCAATACTCTTCTTTATTTCCATTAATAAAGAATTACCTGAGTTACCTCAAGGCTCTTTCCTTGGTACTATTTCCTTGATTCTTATCTACATTAATGATCTTCGCAAAAACCTTTTTCTTACGATTTTGTTGCTCAGAACATGCAGTCAATAATGAATCTGATCACTTTTCTGTAACAAATTGGGGCTCACAATGGCTTGTAAATTTTAACAAAAAAAAGTTATTTACTGCAAACAACTATTGCAGTACTGTAAAAATTCCTATATTAATGAATGGTAACCCTTTCATTGAGTCCTCTTCTTTACTCTTTGAGTCCTCTTCTTGGATTATTATATACTACTGACCTTATATGTAAACTATATTCACAATCAATTGCTAAATTAGCACCTGATAATGTCACTTCTCTTTATCCTGCTCGCTATTTTCTCTCTCCCGATTCCATTCTCTAGCTCTACAAATTTTTTATTTGTATTTTTACGAAATATTGTTGTCGTATTTGGGCTAATTTTTCTAAAATTCTCTTTCTGGTAAGATCCAAAAACCCATTTAAAACTTGGTTGCACCCGGTCTAAATGCTAGGTTAAGCCTCTTTTCCATCGTTGTAAAGTTGCATCTCTTTCTTTGTTCTACAAATACTACAATGGTTGCTGCTTAGAGTAGTTATCATCTCTAGTTTCATCAACTAAAACTCATTATTGCTTTACTTGTAATTCATCAGTCTCATTCTTTAACTGAATATATCCGTTTATGCTCCAAAAACTTTTATTCATCTAGTTTTTATCGCCGTATTTCATCCTTATGGAACTCTTTCCCATATTCATGTTTTCCTGACTCATACTACCTTCAAATTTTAAATTTCTAACTTTATAACTCTATTATTTATTTATTTTTCTAGTAACTTCCAACTTACTATATACAATATCATATACTCACATCTTAATAGATTAGTAAACTTGTAATTACAAAGATATAAAAAAGGTATCAGTTACAAAGATATAAAAAAAGTATCAAAATAATGACTAAGAGTAAGAGTTTGATGTCGTGTTAATGATGTCATGTTAATGATGTCATGTTAATAATGTCAACTTTATTTATAACAATGAAATCAAATGTGTTTTAGTTTATTAATCATGTCATATTGACGTTGTTTATAAATTACTAATGCTTTGCTGTAGTTACTATTTATTTACTATTTCAGTTAAACATAATTTTTACCATCAAACATTATCAGTGTTCCAAAAGTTACCAGTGTTTCAAACATTACCAGTGTTTCAGTAAGTTATTCTTTATTTTATACGAAATATTCTTTATTTGTAGTAAGAAACCGTCTAATATGTCAACAAAATAGGGGGAAATTTTTAACAATTATTGACTAGCAGGAAGAATGGGAAGAAATGGAAGATCGAGAAATTTTCACGTCTGCAATATTACTTTTTTAATAAATTAAAAAGATCGTAAAAACAAAAAAGAAGAATAGTTTCTTTAGTTTTTAATTTTTATTTGGGCGTAGAGGGGGGTGGTAGAGAGGGCTGGAAGTAATCAAATGCTGAAAAATTTTTTTAGGATGGTCTCTGGAAGTTTGACAAGTTGTTGACGAGTTGCAAAGGGTAAGGTTCTTCTAAATCTGGTAAGATTGCACTTAATCTGCCAAGTTTATTTTCAATATTTATGTTTTCTTTTTTCCTAAAGTAAAAGAAAAGTTTTCATTTCCTGAGTTTTAATATTAATAACTGTTAGTTTACGAAGTTTGATTTTTTAGAAAATACATAAAACAATTTCTGTGTATTAAAAATATACAAAGTTTTTAAAACTTACAAGTTTTTGCTGTGTTTTGCTTGCGTTTCTGCAAATGGATTAAAGCTGAGATTGACGCTGGTGATAAAATGATATACAACTACAAGGAGATGTGAATGATATTATCGCACATTTTTTCAGACAAAGAATAGTTTGTTTTGCATTGCTTTTATAATAAAATGTTACGAAAAAGTATAAAAATATAAAAAACCTTTATAATATAAATTTGTTATTAAACTTATTCATATAGTACATATAAAGTAATGTGATATAATTTGGAATGAGTATACACATGCAGGATTTTTCACACAAACATTATTTGGTAACTCCTATAGGAGTTTAAAAAAGTTAAAAAAAATACCTATAGGTATTTTTTTTAACTTTTATTAACATGTTCATTTATTAATTGACTAATAGATTAATCTTTACATATTTATCTATCAATTATGTTTTACCATATATGGTAAAACATGTCTGTTATTTATGCTGTATCATTTCAATTAACATTTTATTAAATAGTGTATAGTAGCATGTATTTTTATGTAATGTTATTAATCACACTGTAGTAATGTTTGAAAATCATCTATAATCAGTTTTTTACAGGGTGTTATTTTTTTTTAATCTATAGTAACTAATTTTAAAGTGCAATCATGAAATTCACCTCAAGTACAACATAAAAATAAAAAAGAAGTTTTGGTCCAAGGTTATTAAAATTCCTAACGTTTGATTAATCATGAATATAATTGTATGTATTCGACATTATGTTATATTTGTAACAAGATTTTCATTGTGATAATAAGTTTAATAACAAATTTATTATTATGATATTAAGTTAATCATCTTAAGTTTATAAGAAATTGTGTTTAAACCACAATTGCTTTTAATTTAAATTGCAACAAATAATTACTTTTAAGCTATATTATTGTTTAAATAAATATTTTGCAGTCGTTAGAATTCAGAACAGAGCTCTGACTCAGAGCTCTGTGATAAACCTGTAAGGACTTCTTGGAGCACCAACTCCAAAAAAAATTAACTTCATTACGACAAAAAAAATAAAGATATAATTAAAATGTTATTGATATTAACTGTTTTTAAACTTATAAAGTTGTATAAAAGATTTCAAGCCAAATTACTAAAGATTTGATGTCATGTTAATTTGAGACTTTAAATAAAAATTTATATGGTTACATAGTTGTCTTGCTATATCATTATTATTTACAAGTCTATGTATGTCAAGCCTAATAACATCTAACATTAAGCGTTTAATAACATTAGTTTAGATTTCCTGAAAGCTGCCTATCAACTCATGCAATTGCAACTGATGAAAGCAGCTGAAGAAGTTTAAACAGATGATAAACTGTATCATATTGAGGCTTCAATTTGCCATGATTTATTTGTGTATTTTATTTATTTATGTAATTTTTAATATCTTTAACAAACTATTTGTATAAGAAAATTTAATAGTATAAGTATTTTTTTTTTAAAGTTGCTTTGAGGTGATTATTGAAAACCAAACATTTTGTTTTTTGAACAAAGTTCAAAAAACAAAAATTTTCAAAAAAACAAAAAAGTTCAAAGTTCAAATTTAACAAAGTTTTTGAACAAATTTTAAAATAAAATAGTAAAAAAATAAAAAGTTTAAGATAAAATATGAATGTTTTGATTTCAGGTCGAAGTTTTGCCCAGCCACTATCAAGCGCTCCAAAATTGACCACTCTAGCTCTTGTAAATGTAAAATTAATTACCAAACTATCAAACAACGCAATGACAAAAAAGGACTCTTGTACACAGTCTGGTACAGTTAGGGTTTTGCTCACTCCAATGATTTATTAAGTTTTGTGAATCATGTTATTTAATCTCTCAAAAATTTTTTTCAAGTTTTGTATAAGCATTGTTGATACTGCGTTAAAAGGTTGATACCAGCTCACCGCCTTAAAAACAACCTCTCACTTAAAGGATTGGCAAAGACCCTGGAGTTAAGAGAGAAATTCTTTTCATGTAGAACACTTCTACATGATGTGATGTCGAATCCAAGTGTTATGTAAAATTCGGAAACTTGCGAACACTCGACTCAATCAAATCTAGCCTCGAATCTTTTCAGCAATCAGTGTGGCTTGTACAAAGTTTTTTTGTCAATGTAATTTGAAAGTCAATCATCAGTGGGCCTGACAATATTCTGAATTTGGAAATAATTCCACTGACAGAGTTGCATGTCCTTATAGAAGCTGTCAATCATCTTTTCAAGATACTACAAAATTGGTTGGATAGAAGCTGCTAAGAGGCCAGCTGCCCTCCACATTCACTGTGAACGAAAACAAAAAACTTTTAAAAAAATTCAATGTGTTCCAACTTGCTGATACAAACTCGGTTCCTAACATACTTCACATAATTTAAGCATTTAAAAGTTTTAAAGTTTTTTTTGAATTAAAACTTTTAGTTGTAAAAACTTTTTAAAATTTATACTTTAGCTTGATTTTGCTGAAATAATTGAAAGTTTCAAAAAGTATTACTTAATGACAATTGGCAAGCGTAACACCTAAAGTTCACACCATCTTCTTCCATGTCAAAGATTTTATCATTTGCAAAGTATCCTCCTAGGGACCCTATAACAAATAAACTGTCGAAACTGCTCATCAATACCTTTTATAAACATTGGTTAAGAACGAAACAATAATTATCCAGAGTATAAAAAAAGATTCACATACTGCCTAACTGATCTTTAATATATTAATATATTAGATTTAATATATTTAATATATTAATATATTAATATATTAGATTTAATATTATTTAGTTTAATATATTAGATTGAGCAGAAGAAAATCATAACATACTTTAAAATGAACATTTTAATCATTAACTGCTGTTATGAATTTAATATGCTTTTTTCAATATAGAAACTAAAACAAATTTTCAACATGTTTTTTTAAATATAGAAATTAAAACAAATTATTTTAAAAATATCTAAACTTGAGTTATTTTTTTTTTTTTTTAGTTATTTGCGAAAAGCGAAAACAAAATATCATATAAAAATTTTGACTATTAAAATGGAGACTGTTCTGAAATAAGTAAAGTGGTTGAAGGAATAAACTGGACAATGCATTTTAAGAATTTAACTGCAGACAAAATTCATAATAAATTTTTATTAATTTACTCAAATATCAAAAAATCTTTTATATCATAAAAAACTAGAACTTATTTTAATATTGATGAGTATTTGACTAAAATTAATCATAATAATCTATTTTGAATAAACTTCTTATAGAGAAAAAACTAAAAATCATATTTACAATTAAATCATATGCTATTTGACGATATTATATGATGTAAAAAATAAGGTTTATATTGTTATTTTTCACTTCGTTTTCAAAATCAATGCATTTATGTTGGTTTCAAGGGCCAATGAAAGTTCTTTTATTACAAAGGTGTTTTTTTTTAATTTTATCAACGTACTTTTTTTAACACTTTTTTTTTCGTTTTGGTAGGAGTTTTTAATTTGGAAATGTTAAGACATTTACTCAACATTTCCAAAATTATAAACTATATATTTTTTAAAAGATTTAAAAACTTGCATCACCTTGATGTTTACTCTATCACTTCTTATAAGTGGCGTTCTTGGGTCAGCTATATTGGCATTATCAGGATCCATGCTAACCGTGGGGGTCTAAAACATGGAAATATAGACTTAATACTATATACAATAAAAGATAACATTAAGTCTATGTTCAAATTTTATAATGCCAGCGGTCTTGCTCATGAATGCTTAGGTCTTTATTTATATAATTCCTCCTAATGATTGTTTTCAAAAAACCCATTTTATTTAAATTATCAAAGAATATTACATCTGCAGGTAGCAAATGCTGTGACATTTAAACCACATGTTGTGAAATTATACAAATAATTAGGAGATAATATCAACGCCAAAAACAAAAACACATAGAAATAAAAAATTAAACTTTTATTTCTTTATTTTTAAGTATTTTTGTTCTTAATATGAAGAATATTAATGTTAGCATATGCTAACAACTAATATTATTAAAAATATTTTAATAAAAAATATGTTGATATTAGTTGTTAACATTAATGTTAAAAATTGATTATGAGTACGGTGGATATCAACATTTATTAACATTAATTATTAATATAACTGATGTTAATAAATAACATTAATTATGTCAAAAACACTATTACTTATAAGTCATACGTTAAAGAAGCATCAAAGTTTTAATCAACGAATCAGATATAAGAGCTCTATGAGGGTACATTATCACTCCACTCTGACAAAAAATGGGCTTGACAGGAGTTGACGTTTCAGGGACCCAGAAATACTTGTCATTTATATATATTTTTGAATATTTTTTGATCGTGTACAGTTTTTTTTTTTAATGAAAACTGTTTTTGTATAAACTCTAGTAATTTATTTTTTCATAATATTTTGTCAAAACTGTCTTTTTTGTTAATAATGATTTTGTAATTTTCAAAAATGCTTTTTTTTGGTAAAGAACTATTAAATCCGAGGTGTAACACTGTTTTAGTAGATGTAAAGTGGTTTCTTGTGTTATTCTTGAGTAAGTGATGCTTATTGGCTCAAAGTTGGATTTTGTAAATAAAGTTAAAAAATTTTTTTTTAACTTTTTTGAACAGATTTTGATAAGTTGGATAAAAACAGTATAAATAAATAAAATAAAAATTTATCATAAATTATAATTATATGTAATAAAATATTTTTATTTTATTTTATTTTTTATTTTAGGTTATTTAGGTGCTCCCAGAAATCCTTGCGGTTTTGTCGCGGAGAGCATTTAATTAGAAGTTCACGCCTCCTTTCTTACTAATGTTGCTTAATGTGCGTCGAACCTGCCTCACACCTCGGCGTTGAACCTAAGCTCTATATACGCTAAAAAAGTGTGCATTTTATTTTTACTTTTTTTTGCAAATAAATAAGTATAGAAATGGTCGGTATCCGATAGAATTACCAAGACCCGCATATTATGAATCTATTTTAATGAATCTATTTTAACGTTTGTTTTAACGGTATTTTGATAAAGTAGATAACTTTTTTAAAACTCTCCACCGTAGTGACAAAAGTTTGAGTTAAATTACAAATACATAAAAACTACTTTCTCTTTGTTATATTTATTTTAATATTTATTATTTCTCTCTCTATGCTGTATTTTCAACTCAACTACTTCTAACTTTCACTCCACTTTTGTTTTTTTTAAAACTCAATTACTCTAGTTAAGCCTGTTTTGTGACCTCTATGTTAAAATTCATGAATGTTGCAATTACATAGCACAATATCAATCTAACTTTCTTTATCAAAATATAGAAGTAATCAAAATGTAATAATCAGAAGAAAAACTCGTCTATTGGGTTAATATGACGTAAATAAACGACTTGTGAAAAAATTTAAAAATAAATAATCTAAACAAAATAATCTAGCAAGTATGTGAAACTTTAAGAAGGCAATTTTAGTTTTTTTATGTTTCATTTGTTCAGGAATTGAAAATACAGCAACAAACGCAGCTTTCATCAAAACATGTATGCCTAAAATAAGCTAATCAATATAAAAAATATATTTCTCTCATTTAACTTTGTAATGCTAAGATTTAACTTGATTAATTTTTAAATATTTTAAATATTTTAAATATTAGCGCGACTGTTATTTTATATTGTTCAATAAGCGAATATTACTTTTTCAATGGAATAGTCTATTGTTTAAACCTTTAAGGCCTTTATTCCAATTTTTCATTTTATATAATCTAGAAACCAAATTATTTGTAAACATTAAAAAAATGTACCAAGCGTACATTATAGTTGTTTAAATAGCACAAGTATTAATAACAATCATTTGCAGGGAAAAATATTAACTTGTGCTTAGTTTTCCCCAGCTAGCACACATACGATGATAAAATGTTAGATTAATGTTGCGCGTTGGCTCAACATCGACCGTCAACGTTGTTTTAAAACTAAGTCTTTTTTACTTATTTAGTTATAAGACAAAACATGACTGTGTCAAAAGTCGAGAAAACATGCGAATAAGTTTGTATTAAAAAAAAAAAGGAGTCTAAGTAAACAATCGATAACATTGTGACGCGGAGACTCGGGTTTAGTTGGAATATCAGTTCGAAAAATACTCACAAACTTCTAATATGTTAAAAAAAATTTTAAGGAATTCGATCATTATACTAATAAAAAGATTAGCTTATTTATCAAAAAGGCAAACCATTTTAAAAATTGCAAATTGTTTTAAATACAACATTATCATTTTACTCTGTATTTAAAAAGTTTTTTTTTAAATAATACTGTTTTTGATTCTCCTACCAATTAACAGGAGTATTATAAACAAATTAACAAATAAAACTAGCTATACAATCATTATTTAATTTTAGTTTAATTGCAAGTGATAGAAATAAAATATACTACTGTCCTTACATATTAAATGGCAAATGATAATGAGGAGAACTTTTGATATCACCTCCAAGATGCCATGTGCATTTTGATGGCAGATCTGGTCTCACCCAGTGCTTCTGAAGGTCTTCTCCACTCATACTTTTTGTTCGCTTTTCTTTAAATATCTAATAAATTAAACAAGGTTATCAAAACTAAATAAAAATTTGATATATTTGGCATAACAAGAACTGTATCAAGTCTAAAAAGTAACTTAAAACAAAAACTTATTTTCAAAAATATCTTTAAAGTAAATCATCTTATACTATTTTATTGTTTTAATTACTTTATATTTTATGCTACGTTGCTTATACAATGCTTATACGTTGCTTATATGAAAAGTGAATAATTTGATCTATAAGCAAAGTGAATAATTTATAAAGTATCAACTTAGAAAACAACTAATATTTAATTACTATATTTGATTATAATCAAATTGTAAGATATTGGTATTTAAAGTCTCAGACAAGAGACTCCCTTTCTGCATTCGAATGTGATTAACTTTTCGTGAATAAGATTTAAATAAATTTATTAAGAAATTCGTCATCAAATGAAATTCGTCATCAAATAAAATTCGTCACTAAAACCTTTTGCGATTAAAAACGTGAATTCTGAAAATAGAATAAGAAAACTAGTCTTAAAGCCAAGCCCCTTAATCAGTACTGTGAATATAAAATAGCAGGAAAAAAAAAATGCTACTAACTGCTAGTAATGATTTACTAGCAGTTAGTTACGCGATGAGCAAAATTACAGTGGTCTACTCTAAATAACACTACAGTGGTTCCCTCAAAATGTCTATATAGCTCCATTCAAAATTTTGTAATAGAATGTTTGCTGAGAAATATCCGTCGTGGGCAACAGTTTTTAAAACTTCTTTAATTATAAATATTTTATTGAGAAAGATAAAATACTTAGTAAAATAAAAACAATATTATTTAAAATCATGCAGACGCATCATTCGCGTAAATTTGAAGCTTTCCTTGCCGAAAGTGTGAAGTTTTCCTCAACACCGGTGTGTAGCTATCATTCCTAGACACAAGTGTAGAGTTATTTTTCACAATTTTGTGCAAATAACGCCACTTCTTTTCAGAAGTTGAGTTAGAAAAAGTTAATATCCACAAAAGTGTGCAAAGTAACTCAAAGACACTTGTGTCTAGGAGTAATAGGTACACACCGGTGTGGAGCAAAACTCCACACTTTCCACGAAAGTGGAAAAAGAGAGAGTCTT